AGAGTCTCGAATGCATAGGGAAGGGGGCTACAGGATGGACGAGGGCTGATGATGAGGACCCATCGCTCCTAGGCTCTCATTAACCTGGTGGGGAGGTCCACTATCGGCCCCGGCGAAAAGAACAACCTCGATGTCTGCATCACCGAGTCGAAGCGGGTGTGGGGTCTCATTGGACCCGTGATGCAATCGATTTGGGCAGCTTCATGACATGAGCGGCAGGTGAGTACCACGCTACCCGTGCAACCCTTTCTCTATCCTACCCATGCACGCATGGGCGTCACCCTTGCAGGTATGATGCTATGTTGAGCTCATGTGTACATCCATCCTTTGCGTGTTGTCGATCCGCGGGCTCTCAATGAACCCTCGCAATGGACCCTCAGTGGACCCTCAATGGACCCGTAGTGGGCCCTCAATGGACCCTAAGTGGAACCTCAATGGGCCCTTAGTGGACCCTCAATGGACCCTCAGTGGACCCTCAGTGGACCCTCAGTGGACCCTCAATGGACCCTTAGTGGACCCTCAGTGGACCCTAAATTGATCCCCAGTGGACCCTCAGTGGACCCATTAATGGACCCCCAGTGGGCCCTCAATGGGCCCTCAGTGGACCATCAGACCCTCGATGGACCCTCAATTGACCCTCAATGGACACTCGCAATGGACCCCCTCGCTGAAACCTCAATGCGCCCTCAATGGACCCTCGCAGTGGGCCATCCGTGACCCCTAAATTAGACCCTCTTTGGATTCTTAGTGGGCCTTCAATGGACCCTCAGTGGACCCTCAGTGGACCCTCAGTGGACCTTTCATGGACCCTTAGTGGACCTTCGATGGATCCTTAGTGGACCCTCAATAGACCCTTAGTGGGCCCTCAGTGGACCCTCAGTGCATGGACCCTCGCGGTGGACCCTCAGTCATGACTTGCAGGATCGCTGCAGGGAGCGCTCAAGTTTCCCTCTTCTCTTCGCTCCCTGGCGGAGCTTTGCTTGCAGTCGGTCGAGGCGCTATCTATAGCGCCCAGGGTTCGAAGGCACTGCCAAGCTAGTGTCGTTCTGCTGCGCGGACGCGCGCACTTTGAGGGATGGCGTGGAAGTGCAGGGAGTAGCTAAGTGGACGAGGATAGGGAGGGAAGGGAGACATACGCAAGCTACCAATGCATTGGACTCGCACGCTGCTCCGTTGTCCGCGGGATGGACGTGCTTGAGTGTTCCGTCGCTGACAGGGCGACGCTCAGGACAAAGGAAAACGCGGCTGAGCGCGCGCACTGCAGTCCAAGCTCGTTTGACCGCTGGATCTCATCACGAGGTGTTCGTATACCGCGATCGACAGTGCCACCCGTGGCCGCACTGGCATGACAGGAGCAAGGAGGATCAGGAAGGATGATCAGGAGTATACATGCGAACGGTCCGACGTACGCGTCAGGACTAGGAGAAGGACGATGCATATCGAATGGTTTCGATAGTTCAATGAGAGTCTGAATCAAACTATAGTTTGATTCAGGCTCGTAACCGACGGCAGCAACGTGGACCCTGAAGGACTAGGCATATATATATACACATACCTACAAACATACATACATACATGCATGCATGCATGCATACATACATACATACACACATACATACATACATACATACGTACATACATACATACATACACACATACATACATCCATACTTATACATATACATGTGTATATATGTATGTACATAGATATGGCAATGATGATAATGATGATAATAGTTAGGAGACGTGTTCCGGGTGGGAAGGACCATTAGCGACAGAAATCGGAAGGATCATGAGAATAAGAATGAGCAGAGAGATGAGGATCGGGATCCGAGATGGCACCTGGTTATTGGTCATCACATGAGCACTACATTGACCATAAGTGTTCGCATCAGACTTGGTCGCATTATTGTTCGCAGCAGCTTTGTTCACATCAGGCTGTTGGCATATCGCCCCCGTGACTCATCCCTCAACCCCCCACCCCCCCGGCCGGATTTCTTTTCTTCTTTCCGCGGGGGGTCAACCTTCGCGGCGACCCGTTAAACCCGGGACCCCTGGCGGCGCATGGATTTCTTTCCTTCTTCCCCGCGCGCGTTGCTGTTGGAACCCCTGAACCCCTCCGACTACCGTACAACTCGCACTTGAGTACAACTGGTACTATCATGTCCTATCGCGCAGTTGTTCCTAGAGAGCACGTTGTCCTGCCGTGCAAATATTCGAGTGCAGCTGGTATCATATTACAGCTGGTAAAATTGTGCCCCCTAGAACAACGCCCTATCGCCAATCCCCAGTACTAGTACAACTCCATGGTACAACTCCCGAGCACAACTCCCCCGTACAATTCCCCGGTTTAAGTGGTATTATAACAACTCTCTGATCCAAGTTCCGAGTGCTAGTACAATTCCCTAGTGCAACCGCGATTAAGGTGTTGTTGCATTGCACTTACAGTCTCGGCTCTCACGCTTTTCTTCCTCTGGTTGCGCTTGGGGGGGTGGGACCCCTCGCGCGGGCACCCCCGCGGCTGGGAGTTCATTCCTCTTCCGGAATTTGAGGGGGGGGTAACCCCCGTGCTCGAACCCCATCGCCAGGTTTTTTTTCTTTCCTCCGCGGAAACCGGACCCCCTGGGTTCTTCGGCGCGCCCCATTTTTTTTTTCTTTCCGGTTGGGCCTCCATGGGTCTTAGGTTGGAGTCACCCGGGTGATGTTGGCATCGCGCGGGCGCGCATTGGTTAGGGGAGGGGGCATGTTCAGTAGTTTTCGCTTCAAGCTGCCCAGCAAATCCATATTCCATATTCTTGCCCCTCGCTGCCATCCTTCCATATACTTGCCCCTCGTGGCCATCCATATACTTGCCAATCGTGGCCTTCCATATTCGCATGTGCTTTCGAGCGTTCGTGTTATTCGTCATCATATATATATATATATATATATATATATATATATTGTCGGGCCCCATGGCGCGAGCTCGGGCGGCGGCGTTGAGATTGCAGGCAGACGATCTCGAGGGGGAGGGGGGCGGACGGGGCGAACCCGAGAGTTTGGGCAACGACGGAGGCGCTGGTCTCCGAGAGTACCTCGTCAAGCAACACAGAGCTGGCATTTTCTCTGCTGTCGATGTTTGCACGATCGCACACCACGCGCGCAAGGGAGGGTGTGGAGGGGTCGGGGATCTCGCGCTAGATCCCTCGAGGTCTGCCCATGCGGCGGAGCACGTCCAAACTGCTCTTGGCCTTCATGAGACTCGATCACTATTCTACATGGTGCGAATGCCAGCCTGGGATAAGGAGACGAATGCACGGCACTACCTCGACTTTCCCATCAACCTCCCCCACGAAATCTTCGCTAGGGAGTGGGAGAAGGACCCTTCCAGGTGGGGCCCCATCAATTTTTCGCCCGACGGCTTGCCAGTCAACTTTTCGGAGCACGAGGTTCCAACACAGAATAAACACATCCCGAATTTCAAGCTTGAGACACACCTCGTTGGCCACGGCCCAAGGGCGCCCGCGGTGCAAATGCCAGCGAAATGTGACTTTCAGGCTTGTAATGGGGATGTGTTTGCTTATTATGTGTATACATCTGGGCAGGTTGTTCAAGGGCACGATGACCGCACCACACCGCTTGGCTACTTCTCCGACGGGGTGCCGCATGCGAAAAGAGACAGCTTTTTTTCTTGTTATTATATGTCAAGTATTCTCACGAAACGGCGGTTTCTCGTGTGCGCGACCAGACAGCAGGACTTCTGCAGGTGTGGCTGCAGGGGGAATTGCTCCTTCGGGCTGATCCAGCGGGTGTTGAGGTGGAGCTTTAATGCTCTGGCCGAAGGCACGTGGCCCAGTCGCAGCCATGACGATGGCCCGCTGGACCACGCTAGAGACGTGAGGCGTGGCTTCGAGCTGGCACAGGGCTGGAGAGGAGCCCTGTGCGAGATCAGGGCTGACCTCTTGGAGGTAACAGGAGCGCTGGGTTTCAAGACCTGGCAAAATCCTACCCACCCGCGTTTTGTTTGCATGTGCCCCAAAGTTCAGCTGAAAACGTTTCCCCGGGATGTCAACCACGTCTTGTGGGCGCCGCGGGACGAGGCCATGTATGTGAACATGGTCAATAACAGCCTTCGGACAGTTCATGTGCTAGACGGAGCATGTCTCACGCGCCTCCAGAGGATCTTGAACTTTGACCATCGTCGGGGAGGCTTGGCGACGACCCAGGAGAGCGCAGAATTCAATTTAGGGAAGGGTTTCCGCCTGATCCAAAACGAATTTTGCACCGATATCCATAAGCTCGGCGGCATAGAGACGCCCTGCAACCTCAAATTCTTCAACGCGAAAGATAACCAAGGGCTCGACTTTGTCTGTGCATCATTTGATATTGTGGGCGTGGGTGTTAATACAATAATGCTAGATGGTATGCATATAATGGACTTGGGCGTCGCGCAGTACGTGATAGGGGCAACTTTCCACCAGCTAATCAAGAACAACTTCTCTGGTTCTGCCGCCACAAGGAAGCCCGCGAGGGACCGCCAGTGCCCTCTGGACTTGCGCAGAAGGATCCGAGCGCACTACCTAGCCACAGGGGCCAACAGGAAGAGAGGCGCCAAGTCGATGATCGGCAGGCTCACGCTCAAAATGCTTCAGCCCGCGAAGACGGGGTCCGCGCCGCGGCTTAAGGCGAAAGCCGCGGAGTCCAGGAACCTTGTCCCGCTACTGCCGCTCCTTTGCCAGGAGCACTACGCGTTCTTAGGACCGCGTAAGGAAGCGCTGGTTCGAGCGGTCGGCCACCTTGCAAATGTGCACAGGGTCCAGAAGGACGAGCAGAGACACATGTCCCCTCAGGGCGCAGCCACCCCTAAGAAGCAATTTGGGACTTTGCGCGTGCCCTGCGCTAAATGCGGAGTGGCCGCTGGTCCCGTCGCCGCGTTGATTGCGGATTCGCCTCGACCCTCGTGCGCCGCGCCTTTTGCTCGATTCGCCTCGAATCCTCGTGCGCCGCGTGTTGCTGGATTCGCTCGTGGTCCATGGTCGGCTGGGTTTCGCATGCGTGTGGGGCGCGCGCATATTCCTTTGTTGCTGGAGAGGAGAATGATTCGTTTCTTGAATGCGTGGAAGGAGTACAGAGGCCACATAGTTTTCAAATTCCACGCATGCATTCACCTGGCCGAACAGGCCCTCTTGAAGGGTAGCCCGCGGGCGTACTGGACGCACCCCGGCGAGGCGGGGAATCGGCTGATGCAGCGGGTGGCGAAATCCCTCCACGGCGGGCAGACATTCTACGTCACGTTGCTCGAAAAAGGTCGCGGCCTGAGGTCGATGGTCTCTGGCGACGTTCTATTCGAGCACTGAGACGTAGAATGTGGAACCGCCGTGGGGGTGTTCGCTCCCCTGCTGAAGTCGATTGTCCGCTTCGCTGGGGCACGTTCCGGGCGCCGACGACAAAGGAGGAGGAAGAAAACGAGGATCATGCCATGTGAAACGAGGTTACCCTTCAGGGCGCCTGTCGGCGCCTGCTCGGTGGCGACAGATATGTGGATCCACAGAGCAGAAGGAAAATGTCAGAGCGGTCGCGCTGGCTTGCCGCCGCCTCGGGCCTTCGGCGGCCACCTGCCCCCTGCTTCTTTTCTGGGGGTGGCGGCGGAGCGGCGGCATCTTATAAGTGTGGGCGCGTGTACGTGTGCGCGTGCGTGCGTGCGCGTGTGTGTTTAGTAGGATCGGAGGTGGGAGATCGGAGGGCTCGCCTTTCCCCCCTTTCCCCCCCGATGCTCTTCGAGGCCGTTCCTCGTCCTCCTCCTCCTCCTCCTCCTCCTCCTCCTCCTCCTCTTTTTCCTCCTCCTCCTCCTCCTCCTCCTCCTCCTCCTCCTCCTCTTGTTTATCATATGTTGTTTCCTCTTCGCGTTCCCCCTCCTCCTCCTCCTCCTCCTCCTCCTCGATCCTCCTCCTCGATCCTCCTCCCCTTCCCCCTTTCCCCTCTTACTCCTCTTCCCTAGCTCTGCTCCGCCTCCTCCGCCTCCTCCTCCTCGGTCCTCCTCCTCCCTCCGCTTCCGCTTCCGTTTCCGTTTCCCCTCCTCCTCGATCTTCCTCCTCCTCCTCCTCTTCCTCCTCGTGCTGTTGATCAAGGGCGCGAGCCATGGCTCAGCTTTGGGAGTGCCCTTTGGGGGGGGGGGTGCCTCCCCCCCCTTTCCCCCCCGCGGCGGATGCGGTGGTCACCAGGGCCGCCGCCTGGGCTCGACCCAGCGGTGCCCTGGGAGGCCCCCGCCGGGGGAGCGGGCCCCGCGGGCCACGCAAGGCCGCCTGCCCGCGTGGGCGTGGCAGGCGTCCCGATCGAGCGCCGCTCCACCGCGCGTGCACATCGCGCGGTGGCACTGCTGGCTCGGCGAGCCAGGCGCGGCCGTGCTCGTGTGGATCGACGACGGCGGGTGCCTCGCTAGCAGCGCATCGTTTTCTTAAAGTAATGACCCGATGCATCAGCGTGGCATAGCATGTATAGGATGGGCGCGCGCCGCCCCTAAATGCCGCCTCGTGTGGTCGCCCTGTGCGGTATACGGGGGCGGCCGCTTCGTGCTGGGTGCCCGATCGACTCCGTCGTGCTCGAACAAAAAAACTTTCCTCCTCCGCCCCATCCACCTCTTTCTCGCCGCTTGCATTGGCTCGAGCACGCGATTGATCGTCTGGTAGCGGCGCCGCGCGATCTCGCGCGCTCGTTGACTTCGACAACGAGCTCATTGAATCCAACAAGGTTCGTGCTTAGGCTGTCCTAATTTTCTGTCAGAAAATTTTGTTTTTGTCGACGTCATGATTTAAATTCATGACGACGCGAGACGTCCTGAAAAAATTGTGACCGCAAGAGGTCTGGGTACTTTGGGGACCTCCGGAGGACGTAAGTCTGGGAGAAGGGCCAGGATCTCGGCGACCGCGCGCCGGTTCGAGCTGCCCCGCGGTCCGCCGTCACTGTTCCCTACTTAGCCCTGCTGCGGGCCCTCTGGGGGGAGGCTGCGGGCGTAGGGGTCGTAGGCGTTCGCGTCCGCGAACGCCGGTGCGAGGAGGGCTGCCGGATCTGGGGCCGTTTCGTTGGAGTCCGCCTGCGCTGTCTGACGCGGGCGGGCTGTCGGCTGCCGCGGGAAAACGTGGTCCATGATGTGGCCCAAGGTTGCGGAGGCGACGTTCCAGATGTACACTAGGCACCTCCGGCAGCACCATGTGGCGTTCCACTTGCGCTGGACCCACGAGAGCGGCCACTGGTCCCAGCTGGAGAGGCCCTGGTGGGGTTATTTTTTTGATATTTGTTTTTTGACTCGCGGCCCGCAAGGAAAAGTCCAGAGGGCGGTAAGAACGAGGGTGGGACACAGCGCACGAGAAGCAGATAATTAACGGCGCAGCGCTGAGCCGACCGAGAGGCAGCTGGGCGTGTGCCAGTCGCGGAACCACAGACAGCGAAAGCCATTAACCTGTCGCTGCACGTGCGCCGGCGAGCGTAGGGGGGGGCAAAAAAGGTCGGACCCACAGGTGGAGCCGGACTGCCAGGCGAAAGGGGCCAAACCATCACTCATTTGGACGTCGGCCAGCCAGCGCGCATCAGAGGGGAATGCGGGCCAAAGCTTGGTAAAAAATTGACCACCATGGAAGCGACCACGAGAGCCCTGGGACCAGGGCGGTGTGCGGCTTGTGCATCTCGAAGGCACTCCTGTGACTGCAGCCGACGTCTCACACGAGCGCCAAAATGGTGTCTGACCGACGTCCCTATCTGCCAATGCCGACAAGGCTGACCTTACTGTCACCACGCCAATGTGCAAGGGGGGGAGCGGGAGCCGCCGTCACACTAACGACGACGGGGGAGCCACTGCATGCTGCCGACTCCAAAGGATGGGCCCAGACATGGCCGAGGCCAGCGTCCGGTGAGTCCCGGCCCGCGCACGCCGCGGGCAAAAGGAACGTGGAAAGCCGAGAGAAGGAGAGGCGCCTTGAGCGAGCCGTCTCGGAAGAACACGGGCCGACGCAGCGGCAAACCGACGGCGGGGTTATTTAAGCCGGCCGACCGGGCTAAAGGCCCACGCTCACGCAGGAACTATCTCGGCGGTGGGGGGTGCCTCAGCCCCAAGAGGTAACAACAGTCCGCCCCATGGCCCACTGCATCGGTGAAACAAGACCAGTCGCAATCAGTCGACCAGAGTGGCCTAGGGCCTGGTGGTGACCCGGTGGCCCAGGGGCCCACAGCAACTCAACCTTCCTCGGAAGTTGCATTGTGGCGACGAGAAAGGGGGGGGTAAGCAGCCGAAAGCCGCAGTCAGAGTGAAGAGATGGGGAGCAAGCGGACGATCGCCGCGGATGGCAGCACGTGGCGACGAGGAAAGGGGTAGTGCAGCCGATAGCCGCGGAACTGGAGAATGCGACGGGAGGTGGGTGAGCGTCCTGGCCGCAGGGCTTTTTCTGAGGTGGGGGCGCCCTACGGGGGTCCCACGGTACCGTGCAAGGCGATCCCTTCACTGGGGGAGTTCACGCGTTGTTCCGGCGACCTGACGCCGTACGTCATGGCGTCTTCTGTAGAGCCGACGTCGCCCCTAGTTGGGGGGCTCCGTCCAGGCCCTCTGTTGGTCTACCAGCGCGCGCGCGCGCGCTCCCATCCTCGCTGCCGCTTGTCGGCGTATTGCTCGTCACTTTTTGGGGCGGTCCTCTTCTCCCTGTTCCCCCGCGAAGTCCCCCTCCAGGAGCTATCATGATGGCCCCGCCCTTCCCATCGCGGGCTTGGGCGCCATGGGGCCCCAGAGCTGGATGCGCCCGAACAGGACTTCTCCTTGTCGGTGTGCGCCGGCGGGGCGGCTGCGCCGTCTCTGGGTCTGCTCCATGGGTGCTGCGGCGCAGCCCCGCTGTACGTGCTGGAGGGCCGGGTCTGCTCGTGGTGACTTGCCCTGTCGGGTGGGGCAGGGGGGGTGGGTACCATGCCTCTGTCGGCCCAAGGGGGTGGGCTGCCCTTGCTGCCATGCCCCTCGGTTGCGTTGGCGCTTGCGCTGCGATGTAGTAGGCTACGATATTTGTCAGCGACCTTTGGCCAATCGACACGGATATGGTGGTGTTTCACCAACTTGTAGGCGTCGTAACCGGCGTTTTCCCACGCCTGCAGGAATTCTTCGCACCTCTCCCTTGTGTTCTTCCTGGGGCCCGTATGGATGTCGTTCCACGCTAGACCCTGTAGGCTACCAGCCCTGCGTGCCCATCCTATCCACGCCCCGTTGAAAGCGCCTCCGAGTTCCCTCTGCAATTTCATGATTTTCTCTTGGCCTGTCTCGTCCCTCTGGATGTCGGCCTCTTCGATGGGCCTCAAGTGCATGGGGTCCCCCCTAGGGGGTCGTTCCGATGCGGAGGTGGGAGTGGCTCAGCCTGTGGGCGCGGCCGTCTCTCTGGGCCGCCGTCCTGCCGGGGGCTGAGCGCCCGCCGGGTCTCGTGCGCAGGGGCTGTTAGCTCCTGGATAGACTCCTGATTGCGGTCTGGCCTGCCTCCTTTCCCTCGAGGTTTCCTTTGATCAGCCCTTTTGTCACGGATTTGCTCTATGTCTTCTTTGAAGCGGGCCGCGGCATAGGGCGCCCAATTGCCGGCTTCCTCTTTCTCGGGGGGGACTAGCCCCAGCGCTGTCCGCGTGAAGGGGGCGTCTCTGCCACTGGGGCCGCTGATTTCGGCTTCTTCGTCCTGCTGCGGGGGGCTATGGATCATGGAGACTGTTCTCTCTGGATTATCCTCATCCCAGTCTACCTCGCACGGATTGTCGCCGTTACCGTGGGAGTCCCTATCCGAGGTCGGTTCCTCCTTTACTTCCTTCGCTGCTTCCGTGGCCCCTGGGGGCTGCTGGCTGAGGTCATCACGGCTGGCGTGGCCGTCCGAGGCTGGAGGGCGCCTGTGCCGGGCGGCGGCGGGGGAGTGATCCCTAGCTTCGTTGCTGCTCCGGGCGCTGTGCTCGCCAGCGAGGTATTCTAGCGTTCCCCCTGCGAGATCGTCCTTCCTGAGGGATAAGAAGCGGTGCAGCGTTTCCATCGGCTGTAGCCACGGGTCTTGCCCTCTTTGGCAGTCGAGCGCGGCCGAGAAGGTGACCCACTCCTCCTGGAACTTTCCCTTACTCCCGACCAACTGCGCAATGGCATTGGCTGCTGCAGCTCTATGGCCGCCCCAAGGAATGTGAGGGGGGTGCCCATTCATGGGGATCTGGTCACCGTAGATGGAGTGGAGGAAGCGCAGCAATTGGCTGTGAGTCCAGTCGGATACCTCGCTGCCCTCACCCACTTGGTCTCCGACCCTTTCTCCGCCAAAAGTCGACCAGCGGATGTAGATCTCATGGTTCCATTCCAGCAGGAAATTCACCAGCTTGCGCACTGGCCCGTGGCCCGCACGACTGCCCCCCTTCCAGGCAGAGGGTCGCGTGCGCGGGCAGCCGTGGGGCGTCGGGCGGAGAGAGCGGCG